TATTTATTGCTTGGACGATACCGACAAAGAATACTTTTAGAAAATTATTAATAGAAGATATAAAATTATTCTAGACGGTGTTAAAAGAAACTTTTGCAATATTAGTACTAACGTAATATTTTTAGAAAAAATGACGAATTTTTAAATGCAACGAGTACAGCATCTGGATACAGGTACTACCTGCATACAGCTGCAGTTTACACAGACATTTCTCGGACCCTGTGAAAGGTCCGTTGCAGTTTACTTGAGGGGATTAAAATAGTCCTTCCTTCCGCTACAAGTTACATTCGGCGCACCATTCATGCGAATTATTTGATTTAAAATTTCCCGGGAATATAATCCAAAATCACTTTACGACTTTAATACTATAGTGTCGTATTTTGATTGTTCTTTGATGATATAAGTAAGTTATTTAGACCGAATAGTCTTACAATTTTTGTTCTAAACGCTAGAATGATTGTCACAGTCTGTTTACAAATATAAGCATCTACAACCAGCAACATTGTGTAGGTGTTAAAAATAATAAATTTCTGTCCGAGAGAGTCTTTATAATCAATGAACAATATGTGTATTCCCAAATTTTGCTCATAACTATTACTTTGGATCTGCTATAAAGCCTTGGTACTCTCCTATTATATCCTTTGTGAACAAATTTAGTCTCTTCCTTATCAGTAGTGCAAGCACTTTATATATGTTACATCAATTAGGGCTATACCTCTGTAGTTTGCGTTTGTTCTTACTTCCCTTCTTGTAAACGGGGTAGTAGCGGCCCTTCTCCAGGAGCGAGGTATCATTTCCTACCTTCAAATATATTCTGTGGTGAACCAATGGAACAGCCTTCCTGGTACAATTGTCAATTCTCTCAGTGTTAACTGCTTCAAGAACAGATTCGACGCATTCAATTTATGAGTTTAGTATATCCAGTTATTTGTATTATTTAGGAGTGCAGCCTTTTTTCTTTTGTTATTGAAAATGTCTCTCAGTTACGTATATTTGGATGCATAGGTTATACCTCTATTCTTATTTTTGTATTAATAATAATAATAAAAATAATAATATAGTGCAAATTTTCTGATGTAGTAGTTCTCCCACTTCTTTCAAAAATTCAGCTATAATCACGTTTTCTTCCGGACTTTTTTTTTCTTCAAACCCTTTATAGTGCTCTTCTTCAGATGGTTCCTCTATAACATTTCCGTCATCGGCAATTATTTCTGTATTTCCATATTTTTCCCTTTTGAACCGTAGTCGTCTGTATCTTCTGCATTTCAAAGTTGTTCGAGTATTCGGTCCATCTATTTAATTTTCCTTCTATACTTCCTATTAATACGTCATCCTTATTTGTGCAGTATGCCGGTCGTTTTATGTGTGTTTCTGTGCTTCTTTTAACTTCGTGGTAAAAATTTCTAATCTCATTGGTTATGAAATGATTTTCTATATCTTGCATTTTTTTTCCAGTATTCTCGCTTTTTCTTTCTGCAAACTTGTTGAACTATTTTTCGCGCATAGTTGTACTCTTCACGATTCTCTTCAGTCTTCTCTCCAAGCCACCTTATTCTTGTTTTTTAACGTCATTACACATTGTTTATCGAACCAATCTTTATTTTTTCCTTTTCTTCATTTTTTCTTAAGTCATCTTCGTTGCCTAGATTATTGCAGCTTCAGTAGCTTCCCATTCGGTTTCAATGCTATCTTCTGGGTCCCTTTTTTTATTCACCGACAACTATCTTTCTAAGGCCTCTTTTTTTTCTTTCATCCTTCAAGCTTACCGTATTTAAGTGTTTTCTTGTACTTGCTTTTCCATCTGTAGCATCAGGTACATTTTGCCCTAATTTCATTATCACTAAGAGATGATCTAAGTTGATGTCTGCTCCTTTATAACTTTGGACATCTTTTACTACGAGTAGCTTGGCATGCTTATTCTCAATTAAAACACGATCTATCTGATTATGGCTTTTACCATCTGGGGAGATCCAGGTAGTTTTGTGAATTTCTTTGTGACTCACGATTTTCATTTGACTCTGTATAGTAAATCGTATCAGTTTTAAGCCTTTGCCATTACATAATATTTTATGTTTACTTTTCCCTCTTGTTTCACTTCTGTCGGCACATAGCAGTTAATTATACTGATTTTTCGATACTTTGCACATACATATATCCAACTTCTCACATTCCAAGTTGCAACTTTTATTTCTTTATCTCAAAGCTTACTAACACTTTTCTTTTGTATATTGCTATTTCTCCCTTCACTATCCGTTTTCGATGCTCAATTTCCTTCGCTTCGTCGAGCCAATCTTCAATTTTCTGTTATCAGTTTGCTTTACTTTTTTGCTTCTCGGATTTTTTAGCTTTCCTAGCTTTTTATCCCATCTCCACTCTCTCCCGTCTATCCCTAATTTATTATAACCAATCTTAACAGTTTTCCCTTTCTTTTTTTCCTACTTGTGCTGTCTGTCTAATTTGTTTTTGCTTGGCTCTTTAATTTTTTGTTAGATCTACATTTATGAAAATCTTTGATTCCATATTTCATAGTTTCGTCTTGTTTGCATAACTTTTATTTTTTCATTTTCATATTCTTGCTTGATAAAAGATGTTTTTTCACCTAGTCTTGTAGTCGATTTAACTTGGATCTCTATTGCTAAGTGCTCTCTGAAAAAATTTTGCATTCCTTCTTCTAATGTTTTGGGTTCGCTTGCATTCCTAATTGTTACATTATTTTTCTTGTTTTCCGTCGAATTTTGAATCTTTAGCAAATCTTCCTTTATTTTAAAGTTTTCGATTTTAATCATTTCATTTTCTTTCCATAATTCTGCATTCCCTTGGTTTTTTAACTTCTTCACTAAAACTTTGCTTTTCTTATTGGCTTTACTGCAGATTGTATGTCTTTCTGCTCCATCTGGATCTCTTACTTACATTGAATCTTCTCCGCCGTTCCCTCGACCGATCCTTCTGTTAGTGATCTAATATTTAATAATCTATAGCCATGAGGTTGTGGTTAATATAATATCATCAGTACTGTTAGGCGAAAATAATGCATTCATAGCCGTCTGTGGAATAAAACTTATTTCCGCCTATATTTAATCAGTCTTTACAGTCTAACATCAACGCTTTACAGGAGTGGTGTAATAAAAATCAGTTGTCTGTTAATAAGTGCGATGTTATGAAAATTTCAAGGAAGGTTGTGAATAAAAAGTACGACTACTCATTTGACACCTCGAAACATTAACATGCGTTGTTCAAAAAAGAATATGGGTGTAGCATTCGATCCGCTGCTACCACTTATACATATTACGTTACCAATATATTAATGCTCAATTTCACAATAGGTACGAAAAGCTTGTCTTTTACAAACATTAATAATAATTTTTAAAATGTTTTTCGCTTTTGTAAGAAGTAATCTAATATGTAATAAACATGTCTTTCATCAATATCCTTAACGTTTGAGGCGCAGTTTATTTCGAATTGGTAAAAAAATTAAGATGCCTATGTCCTGTTTGTATAAGGCGTCAAATTAGTTCAAGAGAGTATAGGTTTATTCTTTGCAAATTAATAATAATAATGTGTGTTTATTAAAGTTATGTGTAATGTCATAATAGTGTATATTGGAAATGCTATAAATCAATGTTTTTCAGTTATAGGAGTACGTTGTGTTCAAACGTTTTATTGCCCGAGTGTGCAAAGCAATTAGTATAAATTATAAATATAAATTTTGTTTGTCCATTTTAGATGCGGTTAAGCTACGTGGGTTACTACAATGTATTGTTGTTAGTATTAATTATTATATTACCACATATTCACATATAGGAAATGTGACCTATCCGCAATATATACCGGCAGTTCTGTATTACCAGAAGCATACAACGATACAGAAATAATTTTCCTAATGACTGTTTAGAAACCTGGTCGTTAATCGTTATACGAGTATATATTTCGAAATGAATTTAAAATCATTCAATAACATTTGCAGGAAAAGTACGATATATGACAAAGTACAAAGTGCTCACAGATTTTGTTGTTCTATGGTTAAACATTTGATTCCAATATGTACAGTATATTAGGTACTATCGTACAACATTTTTAGTTGCAGTCAAAGTGAGGAAAATTGTACTAATATTGTTTTCTTTACCTTTCCATTAGGCAGCAGATTATGAAAGATGTTGTTATACAGACAGAAAAAATTAGATATTTGTTAAAATACAAAAATATATTCTAATAATAGTTGAAATGAAAATAGTAGAAAAATATATAACTATAACTTTAATAACATAATAACAGAAATCCAAGAAATCGAAAAAACGTAATTGCAGAAAAAGTATGATGTAAATACAACTCATTTTTTCTGAAAGAAACTTTAGCATTTGGTTTCAGCTCATATCATAAACTTTTCTGTATGAACTCCACAAACAACTAAATGTTCGATTGCACGATGTTACCTGCACTTTAATCAAAAATTGACAGTGTGCTTGTTGATGGTATTTATACATTCGACAAGAGGTCCAATTCCGCATCTGCAAATTTAAAGGACAAATTTTGTTGTAAGTTACATCGTACTTCGAACAAAACAATCGAATATATTGACTCAATTCGACCTCGGTTTCGTTGATTGTATATTAGTTGTGACAGATGAACAGCTAACAGCTAGTACCTATTAGTGCTATGCTGCAACTACACAAACGTCAAATAAATCACATGCACTCTCGTTGACGTTTAATTAAATGTTGACGTCTTTAATATTTATAATATATTAACAAGTTTCCACTTGACTAGTTGTTTTAAAAGTAAAACTTTTCCACAAAACGTCTTACTTTGTATTGCGTATTTTAGCAAGGAATGTGAATCTTCAAAAAATAATAGTAAACAAGGCGTCGGATCAACTAACAATGAAGTTCGGCGAACAACTTTATGACATTTCCAGAAAACAAAACTTAAACGTTAAAAAACATTTAACATTTAATGACAACTACAAATAAATTATCAACAATAACTGTGAAACACTGTCTTACCTTAAATGCGTCTACCGGTATCCTGCAGGAGTATTCTTGGGCCAGTGACCTCACCTGCTTTTGTTGGTACCAGAATTTCGGAATGAATACCAACATTAAGGTCATACTTGTTGATAGTTGAGTTCTCAAACAATAAATGATTAAAACGAAGTCCGGATGAAGTCCGGGGAGCAACAGTATACGTGCGATATAAAAAAGGGTGCTTACTGCCAGTTCTATGCTGATTGCTGCGCACAGGAAACTTCGCTCCTGCCAAAAGAATAAAAAATACTTATATTATTTTTTGGGTGAATTCTATTATTATTAAAGTAATGACTGTGTCAAAAATATTTTGATCGCTTGTGGGCCGAGGAGACGCACCTACTGAATTTATGATTACGAAATTAAATTTCAAATATACTTGGAAACAACGACGCGATCTTAAACTAACCATGAGGTTATGATTTACCTAGCGAAAAATATTATCCTTACAGTTCAGAACATAATGTCTTAACAGAGCGTATAATAACGAATTTAATTGAGGTCCACGTGTAACTATTTTAAAGTAAGCACTACATTACATAACTTGCGTATTTTTTTGTGGCTAACAGGATTTTAGGATTTAATTTTTAAGTTTATGTATGTAATTAACTGATATATCCATTACATTACAAAAATATTTTCTTTAACTTTGAAATTTGGGAAATTTAGTATATATATGTATGTAATTGCTTCTACATAGAATCTATACAGCTTTCGTTGTTAAAATCACCGCTGCGAGTTTCGTTTTTGCATCTATAGATGATTAGGACATATGGAAGGTTTTGCATAATTGACATATTTTTTCGAATTTACTTTAATCTTAAGTAAGTGGTTAATAAAAGTAGAAACATATATGCATAGAAGTGTCAAGAGTCTAATTACATAACATTTTGCGTAGTCAGTACTTGTGGACAGAATTCCCTGAATAGCATAATATACAAATATTTTTAATAACTTCAGCTAACATAGTAATACGCTTTTAAAAAGAAAAAATATAGGGTACTAGAATTGCTTAGAATAATATCTATAATTTCATTATTTTGCACATACTTAGGTACATATATGTTTTTCAGGTGGAACTGTCTGTAATATGATCTATTAAAAAATTAACAACTTTCAACAATTAATAATCATTTTGTTACGGGGTGTTTTGTTAATTACCAGTTTATCTACACGACATGTTTGTCCATTTTTGAAGATATTTGTTAGAAAACAAAAGAATACAGAAAAACTTCCATTGCAGAACACAGCTAAAGTTCAGAAAAGCAGATTATTGATGACATTTAAAAGAATAAGGTTAAAACGGTTTATAATAGGGATAATTCACGATAATAGGTTAGCAAATAGAATCATCAAAATATTTTTCAGAATTTTAAAAAATTTAAGAAGTGAAAGTTATGAAGAATTCCACTGGAAAAGGTGAAAGTAGATTAACATTCGGTATTGCTAATAATATTTGAGAAGAATTCGCATCGAAAACCCGAAACGATAGCGAAAATTTGGCTTATAGAACAAAAACGTTCATTGAAGAGAACAGAAAATTCTAGAACATTTTTAGTTTTAAATGAACAGTTTAGATTGACAATATAAGAACAATATTTTTATCCAACGAACTTTTGTCCAAAGGATAATCAAAATGGTATAAGGTTATTTAGACAGAACTTCCCTTGCCCCTAAAGTGCAGTCTAACAAATCCAGCTTTTTCGAAAAATGATAAAATTTGATTTTGCAAAATTTTATCAATTTTATGACAAATACATAAGTTAAAAAAAATATAGATAATAAGATAATGCCAGTCACAGTGCAAGAAAAAAAGTAGCCCATGAGGAGAATGAAATGGCGACTTCCGGGTCCTTCGCGTTGTTAGTACGACGCGTGCGATTCGATCGTAAGAAATTGCTTAGGATTTCGCTTGGGAGTGTTTTCTTAAGAAAAATCACATAGTGTAAACAACTGGATTTTTGCTTAGGAATTATCATAAGAACTTTCTTAAGGAAATCCTAAGAAAAATCCCATAATGTAAACTGACCTTTACTTTAGAGCTCATGAAAGGTCGAGAAAACACGAAGTGACCATTTACGAATGGACGCTGTTATATGCAGTAAAGTATATATGTTACAGCTAATATCCGAAATCCGTTATTATGCATAATAACTAGACATTTTAGGAATTATGCGTAATAACTAAACTTGTCAGTTATTATGCGTAATAACTGAAATTTTCAGTTATTATGCATAATAACGGAAACGTTTAGGTAATATTGATAATAACTAACAGAGGAACAGGAATTATGCACAATATTTTCAAAAAAGCTACCCACCTTGCCTCCCTTTCCGCTACATATCACATGTACAGTTGATTTAAAAAAAACGGGACAAATTACAGTAACAGAAACTTCATATTCCCATTGCTTTTCATTGATCTATGAGAACCTGAATTGCTCATCTTGTCCCGTTTTTTGTGAAATCAGCTATTATGCATAATTCCTGTTCCTTTGTTAGTTATTATCAATATTACCTAAACGTTTCCGTTATTATGCATAATAACTGAAAATTTCAGTTATTACGCATAATAACTGAAAATTTCAGTTATTACGCATAATAACTGAAAATTTCAGTTATTACGCATAATAACTGACAAGTTTAGTTATTACGCATAATTCCTAAAATGTCTAGTTATTATGCATAATAACGGATTTCGGATATTAGCTGTAACATATATACAATAGCTCGACAAGCAGCGCGATAATTTGGAAGTGTAAATATTTTACCGATAATGTTTGCAATGAAGGATGTGATAGACAATTTAGAACAAACAAAAAACAAACAATAAGAACACTACATACTGCGGTATTTTTATGCTGAAGAATGAAGAAAAAGCAGAGGGTAAATAGTGTAGATCGGATGAGATGGAGCAAAAGAGTTGTATTTACATCAAAACAAAGCTCAGCTCTGAATTAGTCTCAAAACAAAATCATCAAAATTTCAGTCAGTCACAGTTTTGTCTTGGTAGAAAAATTATTGAATTTTTTATTTTAATCTTGTGGTAACAGTTAACTTGAAATTTTCTAAACTAAAACATGTGGTGAATGTCAGTATTAAATGTTATATTTTCTCAAAAGAAATAATAGCCTAATGAGTTGATTTTGTTCTTTGTGGCAGAAGTAATAAACAAAAAAATATATGAAAAAGATACAAAAACATAAATTTATTCTGTTCTTTCTGTTTATTTAAATGATTGGTTCGAAGCAAAACTGAAAATAAAATCTCTCAATTTAATCACTTTTAACATATTATCCTAAAAAATTGAGGACATGCAAACAGATGCTACTGTTATTACTTATTAGTCTGTAGCACTAATGGCCTTTGGTTCGACCTGAGAAAGTTTGTAAAAAGTGTTTTCAACAAAAATAAATATTTTCAAACAACACTATCGATTAGATAATTATGAAAATTTGGGACGGATTGTTGACAAAAAAAGCAAAATATGTTTACTATTCTTGTATAATATTATATAATTGTAACATGATTTTCTTCTGCTTGCTGTAAAATTTTAAATAAAATCGTTTTCGTTTCTAACGATCAATTAATGTAATTGTAAAATTTCTTTTTCATTAGTTCTTGGTATTTTGCAACTTTCGTAGTAGTTTGGAAGTCTTCGAATATATTTTTGAAAGTATTTATTCATTCATTGAAATATGATTAAATTAACTAATTCCTCACGCTGGTTACTAGGTAAGTTTACCTAACAGTATATTCTTACCTACTGTAAACACCATCCCCTTAGACATTTAGATGTCTATCCTCGTTAATATAACCTATCAATATTAATTTTAGGTGTAAATTTGAATAGTAGGCACTCTAAAAACACATGTGGTTAATTATTATCATGTTTGATGAAGTTATCGACCATCTGGTGAATTGTAATTATGCCGAACGATTAGTTTGCTAATTTCAATGAGCACTGATGAAATGTTGGATATGGAAATCTGTGTTTATGAACTCATTGACCCATATGATATCACATTTTCATTCCGTAGGAAACAACTGTTCTGGGGTGATTGTCACAAATAAATTCACGGGAGATGTGTATGGTGTGGTACAGAATTTTTCTTGTGTGAAGACATTTATTGAATAACCGGAAGTAATGAAGTGATGTAGACGGATGGTCGAGACGAGAAGGTGATGAATGCCGTGAGGAAGCGTAGTCGACAAGCTATTGTTCTGTGATGAATTGGCTTTATAGCGGTTGTACTGCTCATTATCAACCCACTATGTCAGCACCCCGCGATCCTAAATGTTGGTATTTGTCAACCCTACTTTGCTAAAATTCTATCGTTAATTAATAATGCGCACCACATAACTTAAACATGAAGTTCAGATAACAACTATAGTGATAAATATATGAGCAACTTTCGTGGAGGACTATGTTTTTCTTTAAAAAAGAGAGTTTTTTGGTTGCTCGCTAACGCAACGCGGTTAATTTAGTAAACCTACTATTGCCACTCCGTCACTCCTTGAAAACCAGTTTTAATAGTGAAATATACAGTTAACCGCATGATCCTAAAATTTGAAAGGATATCAAGTTTCAATTCATTTTTCTTTAACAATATAAATACAAGTACAAAAGCAGTAGTGTGCTATATCCTTTTGGTTTTTTATTTTCTATTATCAAAATTGTTTTTCGTTTTTTTTTTAATTTAGAAGAGTCAAGATAAATTAAGATTTATTTCTTCAATCCCACGTCCCTTTTGTTAGCGAATATATTGGCAGCTATCAATTTACAGATATATAAAGTTGTTTATGCCCTTATAGTACATACATACAGACCTCTGGGCTTCGGTTCTAACCCTAACCGTCTTACTTCGTTTATACATTTTGTAAACAGCCCTGCCTGGCCTTTGGACACGCAGTGTTGTGTTGTAACCTGGTGTTAGCTTTATGATTATCTTTTTTACTTGTCGGTTTTGGGTAATAGAATCGGAAAGTTCTGAAACTAAGCAAAAAAAACTTTTTATATAAACAGGTATTACAATTTTTCTACACTTTTATGTTTTAGTAAGAAGTGTCAATACATATACAATGCGCCCGTAAAATTACTCTTTGCCCTTGTAATTTTGGAACCACTGGAGGCACAGCACTAAAATTTAAAATTTGTAAATAGAAAGTCAAATGATGCAGATCGTTATCATAGTGACACGCTTTGAGCTTGAAATGTCAAAATTATTA